CGGCGATTAGGGTGTCTTCTTGCTGCCGCCGCCCTCTTGATAAAATATTTGCCAAATCCCGGGGTGGAACGAATCGCTTTGGGAGACAAAATTTAAGCGTTTTTTGAAAATATTATCATAGCCCCGTCTTAAATATTAATGGGATCTCAGTTTGGATACCGGATATCCAAAGACAAACAGACCGCCGCTGGGAGTTATTCGAGAGATGTTAAATTTAATTAAAGCCGACGAGCTGGGTAAACGCACGGAATTTCGTACTTTTAAGGAGTCCGTTGGGGATGCATAAATTTTCTGTTTTGATGACAGTTTTAAAATGGAAACTTCTGCCCTTAATACACTAGGGAGTTTTCAAACAGCCTAAACGATTTCCTTATCAAATTTCATAAAGAATCAATAATATCATCCATACTACCAATTGAAATTAGGTGTTAGCTAAAGAAATCGTTGGCAGTGATTTCGATCTGACAATTAATTCGGATAAGGATTCGGGTAATTGTTTGGCATCGGCCCGGAGGTACAGCCAAAGACCTAATCTTTAGAGTTGCTGCGCTAATTGAGTACATTCTCGATCAGTAACTGGTAGTAGAAGATTTGGTATTCCTCAGCCCTTAACCTTTCCACGGGTCGACCTGAGGGTTCTTTCCCACTTCGCAAGACCTCTTATGAAATATTCAGTTAGACGTCGTAAGGGGGCCGATGTTGAATCAGGGACGGGGCGGTCCCGATGGGAACCCACAACCCCCGACCTGCCGAAGTTCTTGCCAAAATAATAATGAAATCCTCCAGTGGAATAAATGACCGGAATAAATGTATATTAGCTCGTATCAATTACGATGGGTATGAATTTAAGCGTGAAAAGGTAAAGGAAAAGGGTTCTTCGATTTTTTTATTAGAATTATATTAAAAACTCAATTAATTACCGTCATAGATTAAAATTTTTTTGTTTGTTTCCGAATGTAAATTACTTCCTTAAAATTATCACCATGCACACAAATCAAATTAAATTCATGGTTTTTTATAGACGCCGGTACTGTGGAAACATCCCCTCGCTTATTCGCATTTCCGAATTTTCACCCGCTGAGCAAAAACGCGTAGACCGACGCCCCGATGTCGACGCCGTCGACGTTACTCGCCGAGTCGCGCATCCTGCCGTCACCGAACCGGCAATATATACGGCCCGTTTTTCAACGCTGACGGATGCATTTTTCTTCTCGCCCTCATGGGAGGTGTGGCTTAAACCGCCGACCGACCGACCGACAAATTGTTTCCTTTGTCTTCTTGTTGCCTTCCATAGGGGTACGTGCCTGTCCTTATGACCGTACATGCAAACCAGGTCACGTGCCGGGAACATACCTGAATGACCATCCTTTCTAGGACAATTTCTAGAACGTGAAGACTGTGTTAAAAACTTACAACATGATTTAACCAGTATTAAAACAATTTGCTGTACAAAAGAGATACGTTTCAAAATAAATAGAGTTTTTAGTAATTCACGTTTTCAGTTTTAAAAGATAAACGTTAAGTTTGTAGGAACAGTTTATTGATCAACAAAGTTGCAATGTTGTAAAGTTGTAAGTGAATTAGTTTCTCTTTTATGAAACCAAAAATTCTTGTACTTACTTTACTGGTGTGATCATATTTTTGTAGATTTTAGAGTTAAAACAACATAAAACCTGAAAAGAATCAAAATATGGAGGAAACCTGGCAGTGTATTCAAAAATGTATCCACGACACAGCAGAAGAAGCCATCAGTAAGAGCAAAGTTAACATGAATACGTTCCGAAACTGGCAGAATCAAAAAAGCAAAGTCACATTAGCTAAATATAAACTCCATAATAAAGCTATATATAGACTATATATAGAGAATACTGGAGTAAAGTCACTAGCAATATGAACTATGAACTGTGCTTAAAGAAAGGTATGGAAAATGTTGGGAAATCGCATGTGAAGACAAATGGGGTGTCAAAGGAAGACTGGGAGAATATTTTAAACAACTATACTCAACCAAAAAGGCAACACACGTTAATGCACAGGAAATCTCCTGAACCGTTTTCGGTTCTATACCCAACGAATTGTTAAAACAGAGTACTGTGTCAGTCATAAATACCAATGGAATGGCATAAAAGTGTAACAATTATTATATTCAAAAAAGGCAAAAAAATTATAGAGAAATAACTCTTCTAAACACATCAATGAAGTTATTTACTAGTATAATAAGAAATAAGGTGCAAAATGTTATTTCAAATGCCGAAGAACGAAAAAACTTTAGGAAAGGATCGTTATGAAATAACTAACTTGTGTAATGTAACGTGTGCTAGATTTGCTTTGTCAATTTATCCAAAGCATCTGACAGAATGGAAGACGCATTGAACCTGCTGTTACAAAAATATGCACCAGTTCACATCATCAACATAATACACAAATTAAACATTAACAACACCATTAAAGTAAGCGTCAGAGAAGAACTAACCGAAGACAACCAGGTGGCACTCGGCAATCCGATAATCTCAACCGATTTTTGTTCAACTTATTAATAGACAAAATATCCGAGAAAATGACAACTTTAACTTACTATCCTACAAAAAGGATAGTAAAGTGAAGTATGCAAGACCTGCATCTGTCCAAGTACATTAAAATATACAAAGACACAAACAAAACAAGAGCATGTTAAGAGTAGCAAAAATGAAGACCGTGAAGACAATCTCAGGAGAGACCAGATGAGACAGAATTAAAAACTGGGGCAGACAACGCAAGAGATTTGTAGAATGCCAGAAAACAGATTATGCTCACAAATAATCTGCCCGGAATCAGACAACCAACATGGCAGTTTTCAGGAGATATTTCAGGAGTAAACCTCATCAAAAACAACGTACCCATCGGTCTATACAGAGAGGAAAACATGATTCGAAAGCTGCTCTAGTTCACGAAAATTAGAAAATATCATATTATTAGTCCTACATATTCTAGACATGCGGAAAATTGTTAATTAATCATGAATAATATACAGAGAAACATAAGTTGAGCTCTTTATATCGCACTGTGCTTACTTCAATATGGCTATGATTGGTTTTGAAAAACATTTGCTATATACTCATAATGTTGGAATTTTTGAACTAGATAAAGTATCAAAGCTAAGTGCTTTGCATAGTTTGGTTCAGACCTGAAACCTGTATTAGGAAGCTGATTTATATTTTTATGTCAACAAGTTCTAATTTTCAGACTCTTTTACTGTTCAACTCGGTCCAAGCATAATAGAAATCAGGGTTGGATGGAGTTAATTCATATACTGTAAGGTTGTACATACACATTTTATCGTACATAGAACTGAAATCGCTGGCAAAAACTTGTAGCGTATATTGCAGATTTTTTTTGCAGAGACCTTTTTATCTCTCAGTCTTCTTTTTTAGATATATATACGTGGTATTTAACTTATGATTCTGCCGTTTTATCTAAACCATGGGAATTTTAGAACATACAAATTTGACATTGATCTTTTTTCGATTTGAAAAACCAGTAATTATAGTTTTGATAAAATATTCCATTGCATATTTTAAGTAACATGTGTTTACGCGCATCATTCTCTAGTACAGTGAAACTCCCTAAGTGAAAAACTAACAATGTGGGCTCTGACTTTCTCTAGATCTTTCAATTTTGCTGTAATGTGCGATATCTTTTTTATTATCTCCAACAAAAACACCTCCTTCTCCTGTAAAAATGTGTCCTACAGTTTCTTTATAAACACTGAGTGTTTTTAGAAAGAACGGTTTACACACGCTGATTTTGCTTTCAGTTTTAGTAGCAAATAAGTACGTTTTAGAATCAGATCTTTTTACTATCAAGCATTTGCCTACATCTTGCAGGAACGCGAGCAACCGCATTATCCAAGATAAAGTTCTATCTACCAATAAAATCACAACTCAAACAGTTTTTGCAATTGAACAAATTGAACTTTTGACTATTTCATTTTAGTCTTCTCACGTTTCACTTTTCTTTCTCCACTGACTTCACCCTGAACTTTTTCATCTAAATAGTTTTTCTTTATCGCTTATAGAACCATCAGATTCTAAATAATTTTCACTGTTTTCAGCAATAGGTTCGTGCTAAGCAATAATCATTTCAAAGTCAGTAGGATTCTTGTCATTAATATTTTTGCTCGGACAGAATGTATGATTCAACTTCTAATGGAATTAATAAACTGAGATAGAAAATAATGTTAGTTAAATTAGAACTTGAATATCAGTGATCGCAATTGGCATGCAAGTAATAGTATTAAATAAAATCTGTTTTGCAATGGCCAACAAAATCAAACTTTGAAATGCACAACATTATACACACAACACGCTTATCAATTTAAAGCCGGCAACTAAAACAAGATAATTAACCTTTTATCCTATTGACGCTTACGATTTAAACTTTTTCAAAGCATTTATTCACCATCATCACAGATTATTATTGTGAAATGAAAAATGGAGTCTCATTACCAATAATCCGACGATGTAACTAAACAATAAAGTTAAAAGTCCGCTATCTATATTTTAATATTTAAATTCTTATATTATAAATAAAAGAAACTCGTTAAGTTTAAGTCAATGATTAGCTTATCTGTACATATTCATAATCGAAAATCTAAAACTTAGCGTTTTTTTAAAGAAATTTTTGATGTCCTAAAATCGTCCAAAGGGAAGGTTTAAAATTGTCTGCACGTAGCGTGCTCCAAAAATCGCCTATCCCCTAAACCGACGACACGTTGCCAACCCAATATTCTCAACATAGAGGGTGGTTAAAGATTTTTCGTTTTTCGGTTGCACGAACCACGTAGAAAGACGGCTCCTAACAATTTTAGCAAAATCTGCCGACGCAAGTCAAACGGCCAACATGTGGTGAAATTCAGTAACAACGACAAATGGACAAAAAAATCCGCAAACCAAGAAGTATCGTAGTCATTTTTATAAACTGCAAACTATACCAATTTATTTTTTTTTTTTAAATTTTTTTCTTACCTTGATCAAATGAGCACACAACTCGTGGCTTGAAACGTAGCTTGGAATTAGAACATGACCTGAAACGAGAAAAAAAGGTTACATAAATAAAGCTTGAATACTAGGCTTCACTACTGGATTATTGTAAAGCCGGCGTAAATCAAAAGATTAAATAGAGCCACGCCTATGAAAACTCGGCAGAGCTTTTACTCCGAGCTTCCACACAACACAAACGTCGAGCCGCGTTCAGATAATCAGGCACGCGATAATTACGACCAGTTTTTAACATGTTGGTAGTACACACTTGATCTTATCGTAATGTAAAAATTTTTATAATAATTAATAGGTAAGGGATTTAAAGAAATGTTTTGCGTGACAACCTTAACTTAATCGAAACAAAAATAATACTGTTAGTAAAATTATCAAAGTTAAAGAAAGATGTAAATTAGGATTTGAGAAACTTTATCGCAGATACTGTAGATAAGAGTAGTAATTTTTCTAATTTGATGGGAAAAATTAGCTTCGTCCAGATGTTGGGAACAAAGATCTATGGGAATCCTGATTTCATCAATCATAGTTTTCTGTCGTAATTATCTTTATCCTTAAGTTTCTTTTATATATAGTAACTGAAAGTGATGGATCTGCTAATAAATCATATAAATTTCAGATGCATTTAACCTAACTCAATTAATCACACAAATCGTTAAGAATATATAATAAAAATAAACATAAGATAATATCAATCAATTTTGTAAATATTAATTAAAATCATCATTAATAATCTCAACATTGCTAGCAAATACGTCGATCTGTATGGAATACATTTCCTGACGTTAATAAGGACGCCAAAACGTGTTGACATGATGAGAAGTGTGTTCCAAAGCCGTTTGGAGCCTTGATTCGACGAAAGTGGTAAAGGATAGAAACAGTCTTGTTAACCGAACCCTGAACTTGACTACTCTCCGAACAGATGCGCTTCCTCCAACTATCGACGGGAACAACGGTCCAATTCATCCGGTTCCGGGAGCGTAGTTCGCAAGTTTCGCAGCACACAATTTTGGACGCGGCAACGGACACAGTTTATTGGTGATCTCGCCGTGCAACTGACACCACGAAACCTCTCTGCCCTTGTTAATTGTTCGTGTGTTAATTTCTGTCGGATCGACGGTGTGTTAAAAGTCGGCTAATTGCTCGTATGATGTTATTATTATTTTAGGTGCCGGCTGTTATAAGGACGTAAGCTTTTGCGGTTAAGTTGCCAGGAGAAAATTTAAAACTAATATTTCACAACGATTCTTTTATGAATAGTGAAAAGAGATTTGATAAAGGAAGTAAATGCATCTTCCAACGAAATGGACAACATAGAAATCCTGTTCCATCGTAGCTCATTTCGGATTTAAAGGGAATTTGGGTCGCAGGAAACGGCACCGGAGTGAGAGAATGTTGCCGCCGGGGTTCCATTGTCAAGCCGAGGACAATTTCTGATGACAAATTTGTAAAGCGATAATTAGTATCAGGTTGTTCGAGTCGGGTGTAATTCCATTGTTGACATAGAAAGGGGAGCTTCGCGAAGACGGTATTTGAGGTCTTCAAGTCTGATTAAGTTATTGGGTCGATAGATTTTCAACTTCAGCGGCATTCCATTTATTCACCCTAAAGATTGCACCAACTTTTTGAATTTTTTTATTTATATTTGATATTTCTTGATATTTAAAGACAAAACAATGCCTTTTTGTTAACAAGACTAACTACCGTTTTTCCACCCATTAATTCTGCAACTGCTGCCGTTCGTGCGATATCTATCTGGCCTAATGAACATGAAACCGCCGCCGGCAGAGTCTCCGGGCGAGTTTTGCGTTAATTACGGGAGGTCGCCGCCTCCCAGTCCCGTGCAAAGACGTCCTTCGTACCGATGGCGTGCCCCCGTACTTCTAAATAACCGCCGTATTAATCGCGATTTATTTGTTTACCCGCTCGCATAATTGCATTACGATACGACCGCCGCCTCCACCGATTTATAGCAGGGATGGAGTAACTTTTCCCTACCGCTATATGAGAAGATTAACAGACATAAAAATTCCTAAGTATCTAGTTATTATCAAAAGGAAACAAACTAATTACAAATTAATGTTGAAATCTTTATCATCATCAATTGCTAAACATAACAAAAACATAACAAATTTCAGCAACATTACACACAATAAAAATGCTCACTCACATAAAAATAAAAGTTGAGTTCCACTTCGTAGATTACAAACTTTTTCCATGCTTACATTTTGTTTTGTGATGAATTAACTCAGCAGACTAGAAACTAAAATATTCGTATAAAAAAGTCAACGTCCAGCAATTTCAAGGTTATTTTTTGCATAAATCTTTCGGCACCTATGGAATATAAATGAAACTCATAAACAAATATTAACCATAATATGCACACCATTTGGCCTTGTGTAAGAATAAGGCCAATCGATACTAAGGGCCGTCGTCTCTTATCTCCCCGCTACGTTTCAAACTTTGTTACGAATCTTTATTTTTTAGTTCGATTTGAGCCGGCCGCATTATCTTCGACTCGGCGAGCGGGAAAACTTTTTTTTTGTGTACGTCTTGACGGGTCTTTTGTTTCTCTTCCGACTTTATGGGCAAGACAAATGAGCTGCGAAGCGAAAGTATTTGCGAGAATCGCAGTAGCGTGAGTGTTCGAGATATATAGGCGAAATAAGGGGTCATTCCCCAAGATTAATGGTACATAAATGATTTAAGGATGTATTTCTTAAACTGTATTCAAGACTACAAGCTTTTACACACTGTGATAATGTAGTATGTGCAAACATTCTAATAAAAACAATGTTTTTAACTATAAAATGTACGTTAGGAGGTTGGGTATTAGATTATTTGTAGATTATGACAAGTTATATGTAACTTCAACAATAAGTTTCATAACGATAATCAATCAAAAGAAATGATTTAACATCCACATATATGCGAATGATTGCATAGTATGATTCTAACTTCACTATCTGAACACAATATATATATGACAATATTTATCTATATTATGGGCAAAGCAGACTAGACCACTGGGAAAAGCTGTAAAACATTATCTAGTTTAATTTAGTGTTAAAAATAAGGAACTAATTAGAATGTTAAAAGAGTATCATCAATTACTACTATTGATCCTTCAACTTCATACCAAAACAAGCGAAGTAACCTTATGTGATTGAATCAATGATACTTTTTGATGATGTTTAATAGTACAGTTACAGTAAATGTTGCAGAAACAATTAACATTTCATCTGGAAGCCATTTCGATACAAAATTAAAAAAATTATGTTTGGATAATATAATAATAATAAAGAGCAAGATGGTACGAAATTAAGCACCCTCGGCGAAGACGAGAAAGAAAAGCAGTTGATAAATCACCCTAAAATATGGAGGTTTCTTAAAAAACGGACTTCTCTCAGGTGTATCGTAAATATGCTCAACGTACAAAAATTTCAGACGTCTAAGAAGGGTTCGACGTTAATGCGAAAGGGATATAGACACTAGAACGCAAGGGTCATATTTTAAATCGATTGAAACTTAAAATTTTTATAGCACAGGTGTAAGCAAAAAATTTGACTAAATTACTCCCATTTTATTAAGACAGTGTTACAGCAAATATATTTTTTAATCATATCTATTTAGACAACAATTTGTAAGGAATTAATCTTGGACTAATTTCAAAGACCAAATTTTGATAACATGAAAGCATATTAAAATAACGTCAAAATTAACTCGTAAAAGGTTGTCAAAAAGCACAAAATAACGATCTTGAAACGAAAAAGATTTCACCTCATGAAGTTTTAAAGTCACTTTTTCACGGTTCCTCGTGTTATTATTATACAGTTATAAAAACCTCGGCGGCGCGATAAGGCGGCCATGACCGTCATCACATCCGACGTCGACGTCGCTGTGTAGAGAGGGCCGGGAAAATCCACAGATGCCCTTCCTTTTCCGCAGCCGTCCTCCTAAACTCCTAATACCCTTGTCGTTTTAGGGGGGCCCGAGGGTCGTGAGCANAATATATTCTATATTTAATTTTATCGTTTTATTTAAAGATAATGCGGAACTTCTTAAACGGGAAACTCGTATTGCAAAATTTATGAATGAAATGACAAGAAAATTCACGTTGCTATAGTAGCTAAGTAGTATTTAGCGTTTACCTCGCCTACTATAATTAAAAATTTTAATTTTAATCTTTAATATTTTAAAAATTGAAAAATAACGCTTATTTTCCGCACAAACATCATGCGTGCGATACATCATTGGAAAGCTAAAAATATGCTCTTTTCAGTAACATCATAATAAAGTATAGTTTGTATTTAAAAAAATACAACTTTATGTTATATCTCAAAAATTATCAGCTATGTTAAAAATTTTTCAACGGCAGTATATTCTACTCAAAAAAGTGTCTTAAGAATGCATTAACCCCATTTCTCTAATTTCACAAATAAACGAAATATGAGCATTTTTTGAAATCACTAAAATTTGACTTTTTGGCTATAACTTAAAAACAAAAGAAGATAGAGGTTTGGTCTTTACGGTATTGGATTAGTCTCGGAAAAAGAGACCGGGACATGGCACCTACTTTTTTTGTATCTTTTATAGTTTCTGAGATAGCCTATAATAACACCCAAATTTGCCCACCCTGTACGTTAGGAGGTTGGGTATTAGATTATTTGTAGATTATGACAAGTTATATGTAACTTCAACAATAAGTTTCATAACGATAATCAACCAAAAGAAATGATTTAACATCCACATATATGCGAATGATTGCATAGTATGATTCTAACTTCACTATCTGAACACAATATATATATGACAATATTTATCTATATTATGGGCAAAGCAGACTAGACCACTGGGAAAAGCTGTAAAACATTATCTAGTTTAATTTAGTGTTAAAAATAAGGAACTAATTAGAATGTTAAAAGAGTATCATCAATTACTACTATTGATCCTTCAACTTCATACCAAAACAAGCGAAGTAACCTTATGTGATTGAATCAATGATACTTTTTGATGATGTTTAATAGTACAG